TGAGTGCTGGGGGCCTAGTGATACCCCCGTGAAATCTTCACCCAGTACCGTCCATTTACTTCGCCACGCCATCGCGACTGAATGGTCAACAATCGGTCAGTATTTTTAAAAGTGTTTGATGTGGTCTCCACAATTTACGGAGCGACGTCTGATGGCGCAGTCTTCGGAGGCGGCTCTGACACTACATTGCTCGTGAATCGCTAGTTGATGGCCCGCGAACAAGGTATGAGAACTTCGTGAAGGTCCGGTTCCTAGTTCCCGTTAGAAACCCGTCAAGAACCCGTCAACCCTCAGTGAAATATATGCTAAAGGCCAGCACAGCCGGGAGTCAACCATCCGTGGCTCGTGGTTTCTTATTGGTGAGCATCTCGTCAGCCCCTCACCCAAACCCTATCACTCCTCACGAGCTCGGCTGGTGGGTTGCGCGGAAGACGTTTCATTACCGTACGGCTATTCACCCTTTTCATGTTCATATCCGTGTGTATATCTGGTTTGCCCCTAGGCATGTCGCTGTCACGGAAGGAGTTAGGTTATGTCCGGATTTTTCATTTAAGTGTAATGTGAAGGAATTGGCTATGTCTCCTCGAGGAATTTGACCATCACGCGTGAAATTCACACTTTGTGATTATTACGCACTTTGGATTCTGTCATAAGATTACTATAGTAATGTTGTAACATCTATGTCGGGGAGGCTACTTAACGAAAACCGCGTCTGGCAGCTAGCGTGATCCTAGTGGGATTTTACCCGGGATTCACACGTGTTTGTGGTGTGTTTTAAGTGACTATCGCGTGAGGAACTCACAGAATCTGCTCCAACTGCGTGCGAAAGAACCATCAATCGCCAGTGATCCAATAGTGAAATCCATGTGAGAAATTCACTTGAGGGCCACTCTCGTTCTAAAAACGTTGCAGCTACTATGAATACACCAACCCTTGTCCTCGAATACAGTACAATGACCAGCCAAAATTAAGAAGAGCTCGTAAGAAATATGTGAAGCATGACCCATTGTCCCAACGACTTTTTTATGCGTGCGCGGACGCCAAGGCAGTATTCCTTGTCATTACTGCACAACAACATCCTTCGCGTATTACCAGAAGTAACATACAATGGAAGAAAACCTTGGTTGTTATGAGCCACTGATCCCATGCGCCACCAAACACAACAGAGGTTTGGCACCAAAAGCACGGTTATCGATCCCTGGTGCCAACGGCCAGAGCACCAGGGATTGATGACGTCCCTCTGGCTACTCTTGGGACTGTCTCCTTCGCTTTGAATTACGCTGGGGACGCGACTGTGACGAGGGATCCGACTTCCCCGACACCGTATCTGCTGCTCTCCGTCCCTCCATCTTAGATTGGCATTCAGGCCAAGCCTCCCTCCAATTCTCCCACCTGTGCCATAACTTGTTGCGGATCATAGCCAGGCAGGTGTCCTTAGGACAGTCATTCAACCAGTTCGTATCTTCAGGCGACAGGCCTATCACGAGCCCTCGGGGTCCATTGTGCGGCCCAAATAGCACATGTGACCCGGCAGCAAGTGCTCTCGCCGCCTCTTCCTCACCTGAAAACTGGCTGCCAATAACGACGTGCCCGTCCTTCTCCCGATCGCACACTAGTCTAGCAACCCATCTCCCATTCCAGGGCCTTTGGGTAATACCCACGAATCTCCCCTTGATCTCCTTGCGCTTCTTTCCCGAAGACTCCTTCGCATCCTTCTGCCGTGTCACAGAGCCACCTCGGATGACTTCACCACGGTCTTCCACAACCGTCGTCGCGTCATGCAAGCGGGCTGAACCGCCCGGGTTCTGTAGCGCTGACATCGCTGAGGCCATGTTGTCGCATATGTATTGTGTCTTCACAACCAACTGCTTTACTGCATCCGTGCAGCCTTCTACATCGGATATGCGACTCGCGTGACTGCGTAATTCGGCGGCCATGGTTCTCATCGCCGAAATGCTGTCCAACTTGGGCTGCACCGTGTGGATGGGCTCATTTCGATGCACCGCTACTTACTGGGTTGATACCACTATGCATACGTAGTCGAATTTGAACAGGGACTCGCTGCTGATTCCGCAATCGAGATGCTCGTTAACCGCCGATCGGTACGCTGAACACGACAGTGCAACCCACGTTCTCCCCGTGGGTAGTTGCGGGTAGAGTACACTGAGAACGCTGCACAAAGTTGGAAAAATACATTAGCCCCTCCTTATTATGCAAACACATCCGTACGGAAGCGCGTAGAGTACTCACACGCTGTGGAAGTCAATGGTACTAGCCGGAATCTCCACACCGTCTCGTATGCCAAGAGCATCAACCATCTGCACCGTAGCTCTCTGCCCAATATGATTCGTGATCGATGGCGTTGGAAAGTGCTCGCTAGTCATAGTCGGCTGAATTACTACGCTACCATCTGACGGCCCAGGCACGGATTTTGCGAAATGGGACACGACGTCGTCAGGTTCGGGCAGCCTCTCCTCCACGTCTACCGTTACGGGGACCTCAAATGTAAGTACACGCGAGCACGACTTCGCAGACGCGACGACATCACGTATGGCCCCACTCAACCGAGGGCTTTTCCGTGAAGCCATGTCACGGTTCAATGGGGAGATGTTATTAGCGAGAACAACCACTAAATGCTTATGTTATAGCCCTTGGCCTCGTTACTCTACTACTGGTGGTGTGGATGTGAGAGGAGAAAGATTCGCGAACCTCTGGTGGGATAAATTACGGGACGTTCACCACATACTTGTGAAGTGAGAGCGACACACGATAGTAGGTGCAGTAACGTTACGATAATAGATGTCAATCCCCATCACGAGGGATTGACGAGGTCATTTTTTAGAACTGCTTCTGTCGCTATACGCGACATTAGTGGTTACTTGCGTTCAGATTAATGATGCGAGTAAATAATTATGCATTCTCACATAACGACAAGGAAGAAGGTTCGCCCACTCTCGCATAATATTAGTTTCCATGATCGGAGAAAAAATGAGTGTACTTACGAGAATAAATAATTGAAGCTTTGATGTCCACAGTTACTCGCTGCTAAGCGATGCAAGATGTAACGCTATTGGCTGCAATGTATTAGACAACGCGACACTCGGCAACTACAGGTGATAGGTTGTAGACAGGAACAGTTATCATAACTGCAAACTTTAGGTCACTACATGTTAGATAGCCTACGCGATCCTGCGTTGATGTCTTTGATACAATAGCCTAATCTGAAGATAGGGGTGTAACCCGATGCTAACTTAGGGGTATCTAATTTACTATGCTTCCCATCATACACAAACATCGGCCCCTAGGTAGAATTGTTTCCGACCCCTAGGTTGACGTATGTCGACGGTTCATGCGTTGAAAGATAGGTATGTGACAGAATCGTAGATTAAGTGAAGACTAGGGTTTGGGGTAGTAGGAGACTTAGAGAGGAACATGTCGAGAGAGTTTGCCAAAAGAGGATGAGTTCACTATTGAGCGAGGTACAAATAGCAAACAAAGCATGCAAAGAAGGTGCACCACCAACAAGTAATAATAACTACACTAAACTACAGCTACAGGCAGTTACATATATGTTTCAACAGTATGGGAGGCGGTTAGAAGGTCTGCAATACTGATCCATGAGACAAGTCAGCACTCATCCTTGGGTCAATCCCTTACTGATCGTAACAAAGAACGTTACTAGTCGATAGAGCCTTTGGCTCATTATTGTGCAAGGCAGGGGTTATTGTGATTTACCTATGTAGCATGCACTTGGATGGCTATGTGCTGGCCCATGTGGTTGATCCAAAACGTTGCAAGACTAATTTTGAATGTACCTATTTAGCGTGTTGAGATTACTAAACACACCAATTTTTATTCCCTGATACGTAAATGATGTTTCGAGTTGATGAATATAGAAACCCTGCATGGTATTGTTGGAGCTGGGCCTTCAAAGTCGTTGGCGATTATCACGTGATGCCTAAAGCGAATAAGCAACGGCTGCAAATAACATCGTGGGCACAACTTTGTGACGAATCAACAATGGTGATTGTGAGGCGAAACAGTCACGATGCATCCACTTCACGATCGCCCTGGATGGCACTCCTGCGTATTGGAATCTTGGTGAGCATCTCATGAGTCCCTCAACCAACCTCTATTACTCCCGACGTATTACACAGTTGGGCATTGCGGAACACCCTTCACCCGTGTGGATATTAACCCTAGCGAGGGGAAGCTGCAGAGTTTTGTTTGGGATTTCCCCAATTGTTCTAATCATTTTTTATCCCCCGTAAATTGTATAGGTGTCCAGTAATAAGTAACTTATAGGGCTACGTATTGACCAAAATGCTCAGTTGATTGGAACACATGGGTAAACATGAACGTCACGCTTAGGGGTTGACGTGTGTTTTACTGGTGTTTCACTAATACGTGGTGAGCGTACCGTTCGGCCAAACCGACCAATGATGACTGTACAGCCTGTGCCTCGTGGGCTGTTCACGCAATGCAGACTGCGCAGTTCCGGGTCGGTGGTGTGTCCCCGGTGAGTGTCGCGTGAGGCACTTACATCGACAGAGCTTTGCCCCACGATCCTGTGACTAGGGGCTGACGGACCACACACAACTGCTCTGCGGAATGTTGTTCGGGCTTTGTCCGATGACTAATGCTCGCTATTAAACCCAAAATCTTGATGTGTTGATTTTAATACAATGAAGTCCTCTGTCATGTTTGTAGAGTACATGTAACGGGCCAATTCCGTTTTTTAATGCCACAATATGCAAGATGATGGCAAACACTACTACATGGGGCGTGGTCAACCTCTGGTGCAGATCCAATAGCGATCCAATGGTGAATTGGATGTTGAAGCAGAACGTATGAGCCAACACTATACATTGTCATTTGAAGCATCAGATGCACTGTGCGTGCATTATGCTACTTAGAGCTACATGATCAGAGTGAACCCACAAAAGGGATGAAGCACACTCACGTTGCACGATGAGGGAGTCATCCCTAAAACGCACGAACTAACCATCCTTAGATCCCGACCCCTCCTCATGAGATGCATACGCATGCCCAGAATTTCCACCAGCTCGCATTCGGGCGATTTTGTCGGCGCGAGCATCTGCTTCCTCCAAGCTGGCGTTAATTGCAGCTCTCTTCTTTTCGTCCCTGCGCGTTTTCTCGTCCCACTTTGCCTTCGCTGCAGGCCAATACTTCCTCCACTCCTCCCACATGTGCCAGAACTTCATGCGGACCATCACCTCACACTGGTGTGCAGAACAATCGCTGAGCTTGGCCTTGTCGGCGGCGGTCAAGAGAATGAGCTCCCCACGCGTTGGCTTGTCAACGAACATCACGTGCGACGCTGCGGCTATCGACCTTGCCGCCTCTTCCTCCGTTCCAAAGTGGCTGTTGATGACGATCAGCGACTGAGATGCGCGGTCTAGGACGATCCTGGCGATCCACTCGTCCTTATCCAGCTTCTTTGTGACGCCCGTCCACCCCCTTTTGCCGGGCACCTCACCGATCTCCCCTCCCTGGGTCGCGGGCGCCATAGATGAGGAGGCTGCAGGTGAGGGCAGTACATGTTGGGACCCCTGCATCAAACCGGGGAGCATGCTCGATAAACCGCGACCCTGAGCGGCGGTGGTGTGACCTGGTTGGCTGTTGGTATCGTCGAGCACCTCATCAGCGGCGAGGAAAGGAGCAGAAGGATGCAGCGGGGGACGAAGCGTCGAAAAGGGCAGTTGCAGTAAGTCGCTTGGCTGTACAGTACCGGGGTAAACCGCGCTGGGAGGTTGATGTGCAAACCCAATCGGCCATGAATGAGCGGCGGATGAGGTGGCCACCTGCTGAATAGTGCCTGCATTCTGCGCAAACCCCACCGCAGATGGTGCGCGTACACCCTGCATATGCGCCCCTGTGTGAAAGGCAAATGGGGCAAAGAACTGTTCCCCCGAAGACCATACAGAAGAAGCCCTTTGAACATCAGGTGCCCTTGCAGTGCCTGCCGCCAAAACCGACCATTGAGCACCCTGGACCTCGGCTGCTGAAACCCCTAAACCCGCGGCGCCAGTCGGAACACCGGATGCTGCCGTGGCGTGACCGGCCGATGCCGTGGGAACACCGGTTGCTGGACCTGCATGACCTGCGGCTACAGTTGGGAAAATCACGGCTGCACCTGTATGGCCCGTAGAGGCGGTAGGAATGAAGGCTGCTGCACCTGTCTGACCAGTCGGTACGGTAGGAACACTGCCTGCTGCATGAAGTGCACCTCGCAGACTTGATGCCGCTCCTGGCATACCCGATGCTGCACCTGGCTGTCCAACCCCTTGTGTCGAAGCACCGGCGGAGGCACCTGCCTGCCGCCGAGCAGATGGAAAAGCAACATCAGGTGCACCTGCCTGCGCCGCTGAAGCTCGTTGAGCACCTTCACCGTTCCCTGCCAGGCCACCTGCCGCTGTAGTAACACCTGCTGCAGAACCGGCTGACCTTGCGTGGTGCTAGATGGGACGGCCGCGAGAGCAGAGTGACCCGCCTCAGACTTGTGTGCACCGGGTGTGGCACCCTGGCCTTGGACAGTACATGGCGTCGTCGCGCAAAATGTTGGGCGCGCATGTGACGGAGCGGTGGTGGAAGCGTGGGGAACAGCGATCATGTTCACTGGAGCTTCCAATGATGCTGCGAGCGTACGATGGGGCGGAGGGGCTGCAGCGGTAGAGGTGGTGGGTTCGTCGCTGTTCAAAACCTCCACTAAACCCGTCGGCAGCTTGAACCCTGTCTTGGCAGCCATCCCCTGGACGGCCGTGAAGAGTGACGACAAGATACCCATCACTTTGTCGAGTCCCTTTTCTCCACTGTAAACGGAGTCTTTCAGAGACTCCATGTCTTCATGCAGGCCCTTCAGCTGTGTAGCATGAGACAACTGCTCCGCCGCCAAATCCTGGATGGTTGGCTCCTTTATCTCCTCAACTCCGCCCTCGCTATCACTCTCGTCCCCCCCGTGCTGATCACTCTGTGGGGGAATGTCGGCCCCCTTCAATGCCAGCGATTCCAGCAGTGTACCTGCACCAGCCTCGCACATCAGATCCCGAATTTCGCGCCTGCATTTGGCAGCACTGTAACGAGGATGATTGATCCCTTCTTCCAGGCATTCGAAAGCTCGGCCCACAAGCTCCTTGGAGAACATACAGACGTAGACCCCGCTGTCCACACTGTTCTGTTGCTGGGGTACCTCGAAGTACTGCAGTACAAAACATAAGAGTAGTATCAAACACAGAGTAGACATGCGTGGTAAACCGAGTCCCGCATGTCTGTTGACATGCGTGGTAAACACGAGTGTGGCATACTCACTTCAAGTGCACGGCTGCTGACGCGTGAGACCCTCTCTGTCACAACCACCCACGGCATATCAGGGTTGGCCTTTTTAAGGGCCCTCATAAGCAGCCTGCGAAGGCATAACGAGAGAAAAGGGATCATGAAAGCGAGGAGTATGCGTGGTGTTGATAACAGGTGTCACGCCACAACGAAAGAAGAATCACGATGAACTCACTCGTTGATGTTTGTGAATATTGCCTCGCACATGTCATAGTGCACGCGCGCGGAGTCGTACAGTACAGCTTTTACGGGTACTCGTGGCTTCAATGCATCGTATTCCTCCTGACTAAGCAGCAGCAGACGGGGGTCCTTGACAACGACCAGGCTGAAATGATGAATAGGAACTCTGCAAACAAACATTAAGCCCGGGAAGTATGGTTAGGCATGACACGGAGTGGTAAAGCCGGTTCTGGAATACCATCTCCATGACTTCCATAATGTCTGAAACTCTTACTTGGTGAAAACCACGATGCAAAGGTAGTCGTGCTCGAAGAGAAGTTTGCAATCGACGCCGCATGCTAGCTCCTGTCCCCCGGTGACGGTTTGGTAGGCGAGCGTGTCAAGAGCCAACCAAGTTTTCCCGTCGTGTAATTTTTTGTGATAAAGGCTCAAAACCCTGGAAGAATACGTACAATACACGTCATGTACACGATGAAGAGGATTAAGTAAAACAAGGCACACGCTGAACGTGACTCACACGTGGTAAAAGTCGATGGTTGACGTTGTCAGCTCGTATCCATCCTGTATGTGGAGGGCATCCATCATAGTCACCTTCGCTCGCTGGTCGTAATGGTTTTTAATCTCACGGGAGGGGAAATGGTCACTCTTAACCGACCTAGGTAGCTTATCGGTCGCGCAGTCTGGAACTCTGACTCCCTTAGCGAACCTCGATATTATGTCGTCTGGCTCGGGGAGCACTTGCACGCCTTCTAAAGTAACGGGGACCTTGAATTCAGGGGACGGAGCCGGCTTATTAGTGCTCCGGTTTGTTCGTCTCCCCCGCGCGACGGGTGCCTGGCTACTAGCAGGTGGGTGGCCCTTGGCGCGTGCGGCCAGCCTAGTTTGCGTCATGGTGCAGAGGCGGATTTAAGACCAACAATGGAGATGAGTATGCTGTGCTACGCATCACCTCGAATGAAAAGTAAGAGGAACAATGGTGGCCGCTCAAAGCCGCCAATACTCTAGGCTCACGAGATGGTGGTAATGTGCTCACGAGACGTTGACGGCGGAGAAGCCGAGGAGAAGTAATGACGAAGGAAGGACAGACTGTTGCATTGTGGATGCAACGGTGCTTAACCCGCCCAGTGAAGTCCAAGGTGGCACGCTGTTATTGACTGGAACCCTGACATTGAGGGTTCTCGAACATCACGCGAGGCAAGTTCGTGCACGCGTCCTCTGCAAGATATTTCCAAACCCAATTTCATCATTGCCACCGCTGCTTGCTCAGCTGAGGTGGACAGCGCATAGATAAAGACGAAGTTGTAATGATTTGTGAAACCTTACCAAAAAAAAGTGAGCCTGACCACGACATCACTGAAAGTGTACTTAAGTCATTTTTAATGGGGAAAACTGACCGCGGGAATCGGGCGCGGTCGCGTGGGGGGGGGTAGTGGGAAAACCACTGCCCGTTGGAATTGGAGACGAGCAAGCACCGCGGTTCGTCATTTCCTCCACCCCATCACTTTTCGTGGTTAGTGTTGTACACCTCTCCGGTACGAAGGCACCCACTTTTGCTTGGTTGAGGCACCCTGGAAAACCACCTGAGAACGTTCGCAACCTTGGCATCTGCACCTCAAGTCCCCAGCCTTCGTTGGTAGGTGGTTGGTTGGTTTGTCTCCCGTGATCTGGGGTTTGTAAGTCCGGCCCGGCTCGCAGTACTTCACATTGCTGCCCTCCATCCCGTCCCTATCACTGTGTATTGCACACAGTGTGAGGAAACAGCTGTGCACCGGGTGAGGTCCCACACCTGTCCACCTGCACTGGTCCAATCTCGTAGCGCGCGAGGAAACAACTTTCGTGCGAAGCAGATTCAATTGACTCACCACCAGCCCTTCGCTGCGGAGAATTCGCCCGCTACAGTAAATCAAGCCAGGACCCAGACCAACCCAGCCAGGAAACTACACGCAATTGGTGTGCAGGGGTTCCTTGACGATAGGCGAAAAACCATTGTAACGATGGTTCGCCAATTCTTGTCACCCGCCAAGGGGTGCTGAGGACCTGCGCCAGTTTCCTAATTCCCGCACTCTGACGCAACGCCCTGGGCACCTTGCGCCCCCCCAAAACACTTGATCGCTCCCGCCCGCGAGTCCCGGGGACCGAGGGGGCAAGTGCCAAACCCACCTGGTGTACTGTAGCCAGTGCACTTGTCCCTGCGCTCCCACTTCCATGTGTTGTCTTGGCGCTGTTCGATTGCACTGCAATGTTTTGTACAGCCACACCACAGTATGTCCGAGTCGGCCCTAGGGTTTCCGAACCTAGGGTCACTACACGCCATAGTCAACTTGTTGCGTGCACAATCTTGATTGACCATTGTTCAGATTTGACAGCTGTGGAAACAAACAAATCCCTCACAGTCAAAACCGCGTTCACCACAAGTAAAACAACGAGCTACAGTAATGTGCATTAAATGCACTACATGACAACAGGGGCACTAGTCCCGGCTGCAATCTCTTCCCCAAGACTCCTGGAGGCCACAGCTGCTAACCCCTCCGTCCAACTCCGAGCTGTGAATCGGAAACTCCCTTTCACCTCCTGAACCAAGCACATCCGGGATGTGAAGATTGCAAATACTCATTCGAAGGAATGAGGATCGAGTAAGCTAACAGCGGAGAGATGAGTTCGGTTGAAAAGGGGAGTGTTCTTGGTAGAACCAATACCCTCGATTCAGGTTGGGGCAGAAGGGGGCGAAGTTTAATTTACCCAGAGCCCTGCCCGAACTCTTTACACCTTCACAGTGGCATTGGGGAGGCTGTCGTTGTTGCAGCTAGCGGAAACCAAGCCTTTTTTGCCCGTGAAGTACTGTTGCTTGACCAGCAGGCAACAGTGTTTTTACCGCGGTCCGCAGCGAAAATTACCGCACCAGATTCGTAGGTGGGCCGAACGTACTTCAGGTTCTGGTTCGGATATGCCTAACCTCTAGTGGGGTTTAAAGCCCAGGTGTGCTGCTGTCGAGCCTTTACCGAACCACGCAATACTGTGATAGGGCTGTGGTTACCCCTGGACTGTGAAGCTATCGAACCGCGCCCTTGTGTCCCCGACTGCGCCCTTTCGAGGGTGAAGATTGTGTGCGGAAGAGGGGGTTCGGTGGGGGTGGGGGGGGGGGGGGGGGGGGGGGGGGGGGTAAGGTTGTGTCTGGGTGGAGGTGAGATATCGAGAACATATGTTTCGGGTTTGTGGGGAACGCGGAAACGGGAGAAAACAAAACTGAACGAACACCTCGTGCAACTTCTGCTAGGGCATGCAGCTTTTCTGTTCGTTTCTTCCAGACTTCGAAACCTTTTCCAACCGAACAAAAACATTGCCCATCTCATTATATCCCTTGCCGCATCCCTCCCCCAGCGTCCTTTCCTTCGTCATTCCGTCTGCTCAGTTCCTACCGTCGCTATTGCTTGGCCTACTGCTATCCTAGATTATCCAGGCCCCTCTGAAAAAGGCCTTGCAAAATCCGAGCCTGTGGAAAAAAAAAAAAAACCTAAGACTCAACGCTTCCGCGTCGTCATTCCGCGTCGTCAGTCTGTTGATATAAAAAGCCAATGTTGGCAGAAGCATTCTCGTAAAGACCGAATTTTAACTAGCTTCTGACACTAACGTGCACATGGTTTTGCGGGTAAGGTTCGAAGGGGAGGGATGGGGATGAGGGAGGGAGGGGAGGGGGCAGTTTTTTCGCGGACGTTGATAGAGAAACCAGCTACGAAGCCCCATTTCGACGTACGAACGGGTCAACGGAACACAGAGGTACGATGGTTACGAGGCCCGAATTTCACAAATACCACAAAGGAGGTGACGAGGACAGAGGGAACGCTTAGAGCAGAACCGCGGAAAGCATGTCCTATGGGGATAGAGGGAGGCCCGTATGAGCTTTTTTTTATTTCCGGGTCCCCTCCAAGCATCCCCAAAAAGGTTCGGACCCGTAAACTACCTCCCGGGTGGGAAAAAATACCTTAGTCAAAATCAGGGTCTGCCTGGAAAATACCTTTTCCTTTTCAGTCAAAACAGGGGGATCGCCCGGTGAACTTAGGCCCCGCAGCCATGACAACCGTCGCGACCGTCATGGCTGTCACCGGCATAAAACGTTTCCACCGCGTTAGGTTAAGGACAGCAGCCTCATTTGTGCAGCTTTTGAGCCGCATCGAATATCAGTTTCCGAGGCGCCCGAAAAAAACAGCTTCTCTGAGACGCCTCATACGCCGCGTTAAGGTTAGATCCGCGGGCTCAGTTCGTGTGCTTCGTTCTCGAACCAGCTCGAGCCGCTGGCGGTTCGTGCTTGCGCTGGCTCGAGCCGCTGACGGTTCGTGCTTGCGCTGGCTCGAGCCACTGGCGGTTCGTGCTTGCGCTGGCTCGAGCCGCTGGCGGTTCGTGCTTGCGCTGGCTCGAGCCGCTGGCGGTTCGTGCTTGAGCCGTGGACATAGTGAGTTATGCAGGCTAGTATGGTTTCAATGTTACTCAACAATCATTACAGAACGACATTATCGTACCGTATCACACACAGTGTGTGCGCGCCTATTATTCCAGTACACTGCATCCACAACTTTAGAGGCGCCTCAAAAGTCACTATTGGATACAGCGTGCGCGCCTATTGGTTGCAGTACACTGCATCCACTTTATCGTAAAGCATACAGTGTGCGCGCCTATTGGTTGCAATACACTGCATCCACATTATAGTATCGCATACAGTGTGTACGCCTATTGGTTGCAGTAAACTGCATCCACATCATCCAATTCCAGGAGCTTCTCCATCACAGCTTCGTTCTGCTCTCGAGCCTCCTCGTCAGGCTGGGAAACAGGTTGGGTTGGGAAGGGAAAACCAGAATTTGAAGAAAAGAAGAGTGTTTTCAGTGCATCCAGCATCGGGTAATGCTCCTGCAGCTATGTGTTTGAAGTGTTTTGAGACGTCTCAAAATAGCCCCGTGTATGAAGAAGTGTTTTGAGACGTCTCAAAACACTTCTTCAGACACGTAGCATTGGATAATGCTCCTGCAGCTGCCCCAAAGGTCACAGGTGCCCCACCTCCCAACATGCACGTCGTACCAGCCAGCAAGCCCTACCTCAGACCATCCTACCTCAGACCACCCTACCTCAGACCACCCTACCCCAGATGATGTAGTCCACCCTGCCTCCATCCTGACAGGTCCACCTGATTCCTAACAGGTCTACCTGCATGGTGGCGGTGGGGATGAACATGAGCTCTGTGCTCCGCGTCTACTGTCAGCCCATACTCCTGCAGCTGGGCCCATGCCATGCGCCCATGCACCGTGTACTATCCCTGCCCAGCCCACCCTACACCAGAAGAACCTACCCCAGGTGTACCTGCATGGTAGCGGTGGGAATGAACATGTGGCCTGAGTGCTCTGCATCTACTGTCAGCCCATACTCCTGCTGCGCTCGTACCGTGCCCCCACATGCTAGATCTCCCTACCTACCCCAGCCGTACCTGCATGGTGGTGGTGGGAATGAACATGAGGCCTGAGTGCTCCGCATCCACCAGCCCATGCCCCTGCGGTTGCCAGCCGTACCCACCCACAATGCCCCAGACCCCCCTACTCCAGACCTACCTGCATGGTGGCGGTGGGAATGAACATGAGGCCTGAGTGCTCCGCGTCTACTGTCAGCCCATACTCCTGCAGCTGGGCCCCGTGCCCTCAAGCTGTGCACCTATTGCACAACCCTCTATTCTAGCCCACCCCAGAGGAACCTACCTACCAGATGTACCTGCACCGTAGAAAATCTACCTGCATGGTGGCGGTGGGAATGAACATGAGGCCTGAGTGCTCTGCATCCACCGCCAGCCCATACTCCTGCAGCTGCGCCCCCGTGCCACCCGCCCAGCCCAGCCTACCTACCCAGGTCTACCTGCATGGTGCTAGACGTACCTGCATGGTGGCGGTGGGAATGAACATGAGGCCTGAGTGCTCTGCATCCACTGTCAGCCCATACTCCTGCAGCTCTGCTCGCACTGATGCAAAGGACTCTGCTGGCGTGAGCACCCGGAAGAACCTGAGAGGGGTAAGGAGAGCGGGAAGGGAAGAGTGGGGGTAAGGGGAGAGATAAGTTAATGGGAGGGGTGACACGGAGGGTTGCAACAAACGTCAGCCCATACTCCTGCAGCTGGGCTCGCATCGATGCGAAGGACTCGGCTGGCGAGAGCACTCGGAAGAACCTGGTGGGGGGGAGAGGCCGTGGAGGTGAGACGGAGGGGTGGGGGGAGAGGGGTAGGAACGAGGTGAGAGGAATGTATGGGAGAAGTTACATAAAGGGTTGCATCATCTACTGTCAGCCCATACTCCTGCAGCTGCGCTTGCACCTATGCGAAGGACTCGGCTGGCGTGAGCTCTGGAAAGAAACTGGTGGGGGAGAGAGACCGTGGAGGTGAGAGGATGATGGGAAAGGAGAGAGGAAGAAAGGTTAATGGTGTTGCATCATCTACTGTCAGCCCGTACCCCTGCAGTTGTGCTCGCACCGAGGCAAACGACTCGGCTGGTGTCAGCACTCGGAAGAACCTGGGAGAGAAAGAGAGAGACCGTGGGAGAGAGAGGAGGATAAGGGGGAAGGGAGAAAGTGAGGGAGATACGCAGGTACAGGGGGTTGAACCGTCAGCCCATAATCCCCCCCTGCAGCTGCACCCGCACCTATGCAAAGGACTCGACTGGAGTCAGCACTCGGAAGAACCTGAGAGGGGAGAGGAGGAGAGAGGGGGGGAAGGAGCGGAGGTAAGGGGAGAGATAATTTAACGGGAGGGGTGACACGGAGGGTTGCAACCAACGTCAGCCCATACTCCTGCAGCTGCACCCGCACCTATGCAAAGGACTCGACTGGAGTCAGCACTCGGAAGAACCTGAGAGGGGAGAGGAGGAGAGAGGGGGGGAAGGAGCGGAGGTAAGGGGAGAGATAATTTAACGGGAGGGGTGACACGGAGGGTTGCAACCAACGTCAGCCCATACTCCTGCAGCTGCACTCGCACCGATGCAAAGGACTCTGCTGGTGTGAGCACTCTAAAGAACCTGAGAAAGAAAGAGACCGTGGAGGAGAGAGGAGGATGAGGAGGGGGAGCAGAAGAGGAAGAGATGAACAGGAGAGGGGTAAAAGCGGAGAAGGACAGCAGGAGGGAGACAAGGGAGTGTGGCAATGAGAGAAATCAAGTCAACTGCAACAAAGATTATTGAAAGGAAGAAAGGAGCACAACCAGAAACGAGAACGAGAACAAGAACAAGAACAAGAACAAGAACAAGAACAAGAACAAGAACAAGAACAAGAACAAGAACAAGAACAAGAACAAGAACAAGAACAAGAACAAGAACAAGAACAAGAACAAGAACAAGAACAAGAACAAGAACAAGAACAAGAACAAGAACAAGAACAAGAACAAGAACAAGAACAAGAACAAGAACAAGAACAAGAACAAGAGCAAGAGCAAGAACAAGAACAAGAACAAGAGCAAGAACCAGCAAAAAAACTGAAAGATACCCCTCCCCACCTGTCCTTGACCAAAGGAATGATAAAAAAGCCAACTTACTGCTCCTCCTCCTCGCCCTCCTCCGCATGCCCTCCTCCTCCTCCCCCTGCAATGTCCTCCCCAGGGTTGATGACGTCATCAGCACCTGCATCCACCGCCACCACCAACACCTCGTCCGGGTCTGCCGTGGCTGCTGGCACAGCCAGCACACCCTGCCTGTGAAAAGGAAGGAAGGGGAGAGATGCAATGGGAATAGCAGTATTCATTCAATGGGCAGGGGGATGAGCATCCACCGCCACCACCAGCACCTTGTCTGGGTCTGCCGTGGCTGCTGGCACAGCCAGCACACCCTGCCTGTGAAAAGGAAGGAAGGGGAGAGATGCAATGGGAATAGCAGTATTCATTCAATGGGCAGGGGGATGAGCATCCACCGCCACCACCAGCACCTTGTCTGGGTCTGCCGTGGCTGCTGGCACAGCCAGCACACCCTGCCTGTAGGAGGGGGGGAGAAGAGGGATATGAAAGGAATGAAGAGAGGAATCAGCACCCGCATCATAAGCATCAGCCCCTGCATCCACCGCCACCACCAGCACCTCGTCTGGATCTGCCATGGCTGCTGGGACAGCCAGCACGCCTTGCCTGTGGTGGCAAGGAGGATGGAAATTAGAGGAAGGAAGGGAGGGGAATGAGCAGGAGCAGCAGACCAGCAGCACGAGCAGCAGACCAGCAGCACGAGCAGCAGACCAGCAGCACGAGCAGCAGACCAGCAGCACGAGCAGCAGACCAGCAGCACGAGCAGCAGACCAGCAGCACGAGCAGCAGACCAGCAGCACAAGCAGCAGACCAGCAGCACGAGCAGCAGACCAGCAGCACGAGCAGCAGACCAGCAGCACGAGCAGCAGACCAGCAGCACGAGCAGCAGACCAGCAGCACGAGCAGCAGACCAGCAGCACGAGCAGCAGACCAGCAGCACGAGCAGCAGACCAGCAGCACGAGCAGCAGACCAGCAGCACGAGCAGCAGACCAGCAGCACGAGCAGCAGACCAGCAGCACGAGCAGCAGACCAGCAGCACGAGCAGCAGACCAGCAGCACGAGCAGCAGACCAGCAGCACGAGCAGCAGACCAGCAGCACGAGCAGCAGACCAGCAGCACGAGCAGCAGACCAGCAGCACGAGCAGCAGACCAGCAGCACGAGCAGCAGACCAGCAGCACGAGCAGCAGACCAGCAGCACGAGCAGCAGACCAGCAGCACGAGCAGCAGACCAGCAGCACGAGCAGCAGACCAGCAGCACGAGCAGCAGACCAGCAGCACGAGCAGCAGACCAGCAGCACGAGCAGCAGACCAGCAGCACGAGCAGCAGACCAGCAGCACGAGCAGCAGACCAGCAGCACGAGCAGCAGACCAGCAGCACGAGCAGCAGACCAGCAGCACGAGCAGCAGACCAGCAGCACGAGCAGCAGACCAGCAGCACGAGCAGCAGACCAGCAGCACGAGCAGCAGACCAGCAGCACGAGCAGCAGACCAGCAGCACGAGCAGCAGACCAGCAGCACGAGCAGCAGACCAGCAGCACGAGCAGCAGACCAGCAGCACCAATTACAGTCAGCCCCTGCATCCACCACCACCAACACCTCGTCCGGGTCTGCTGTGGCTGCTGGGACTGGCAGCACACCCTGCCTGTGATGGTAGGGAGAAGGAGAAGTGGAGGAATGAAGAGAGGGGAATGATTAGCACCACCTGCATACCCTGCCACCACCACCACTGCCACCGCCTCGTGTTGGCGCCTCCATCCCTCACCACATCCCACAGACACCGTAACCGCCGCCCAGGTATACAGCAAACCCCACTGTTGGTTTCAAAAACGCATCTCTTGACAAATTCCAAAGCTTACCTCATGAAAGAAAAACCTCTCTTAGAATCAAGAGCGCACCTCTGAAAATTGAGAAGCACTGAGCTCGGAGGTTGTCGCATACATAGCACACTACCTTCTGAAAGGAAAGACACACCACCTTCTGAAGGGTGTAGATTCAAGAGCGCACCTTTTGAAATTGAAGAGCACAGAGCCCGGCGCGGCCATCTTGGCGCCGCCATCTTGCACACCACGTCCCAGAAACACTGAATCTTCCGCCCAGTGTGCATTGAACCATTGAAAAAAATCAGGAACTCACTTGCTGAAATTCAAGAGCGCACCTCTTGAAGTTAAATAGCACCTCTTGAAGTTAAATAGCACCTCTTGAAGTTAAATAGCACCTCTTGAAGTTAAATAGCACCGAGCCTGGATCGGCCATCTTGGCGCCGCCCTTGCGAACCACGTCGCGCACTGTAGCTGCCGCCCGGGCATTGTTGTCTGTTAGCACGTCCACCACTATGCCGACTCCTCCGAGCCCGTAGATCTGCCGCAAGTTATTATATTGAGTACAAAGTGTAGGGAACATGTGTTAGTGTAGGGCAATAAGTGGGCAGTCTTGTCTGTTAGCACGTCCACCACTATGCCGCCCATGTTGGAGTCAATTTTCACTAACACCACAGTTACTCACTAACACACACACGCACCTCATACACGATTTCAGTGAAATCCGCCTGTCCCTTCTCTGTCGCCCGTTTGATGTTCCGATCAATCACATCTTTGGGCACTCCCCCTTGCTGCTCCATTACTCCCCCCTCCTTCCCCGATACAATCACGCACTTTTACAGTCACACTCCCACGCACCTCATACACAATTTCAGTGAAATCCGCCTGCCCCTTCTCCGTCGCTCGTTTGATGTTCCGATCAATCACATCCTTTGGCACTCCGCCTTGCTTTGCCGCCACCAGCAGCGCTGCCAGTGCCGAGTTGCTGCCTGGGCTGGGACCAGCTGCTTTGACTCTGGGAGAGAGGAAAAAGGGGGTGAAGCGTAGAGTAAAGGGGAGGGTGAGGGGAAAGGGTAGAGAGATTGGTGAGGGTGGTGTTTCTGGTGGGTACTGACCAATCACCTCTTTGGGCAAGCACTCCCCCTTGCTTCGCCGCCACCAGCAGCGCTGCCAGCGCTGAGTTGCTGGCTGGGCTGGGACCGGCTGCCTTGACTTTGGAAGGGGAACGGGGGAGGGCAAGGGACAGGGAGTGGGGGGTGGGAGTGGAGGGTGGGGGTGATGGGCAGAGCTGCCACTGCCGCCACCAGCAGCACTGCCAGTGCCGAGTTGCTCGCAGGGCTGGGGCCGGCTGCATTTACTCTGGGAGGGGGAGGGGAAAGGGAGGGGAGGGGGTTGTTGAGGGGGGTGTTGTTGGTGTGTGTGTTCCGATCAACAATTTCCTTCACCACTCCTTGCTTCGCCGCCACCAGCAGCGCTGCCAGCGCCGAATTGCTAGCAGGGCTGGGGCCGGCTGCATTTACTCTGGGAGGAGAGGGCATGGGGGAGAAGGGGGGGGTGGGGGGGTGTTGTAAGCAGTGCTGCCAGCGCCGAATAGCAGGGCTGGGACCGGCTGCTTTGACTCTGGGAGGGGAGGGGGAGGGCAAGGAGGAGAGGGGTGGGTGTTGTAAGCAGCACTGCCAGCACCGAATTGCTTGCAGGGCTGGGACTGGGACTGGCTGCCTTGACTCTGTACAGAGGGTGAGGGGGGTGTTGCTGACATGACAACTGTCACCGAGTCAACTCCTTTGAGTCACCGAGTCAACTCCCCAAAGTCACCGAGTCAACTCCTCTGAGTCACCGAGTCAACTCCCCAAAGTCACCGAGTCAACTCCTCTGAGTTACCGAGTCAACTCCTCTGAGTCACCGAGTCAACTCCCCAAAGTCACCGAGTCAACTCCTCTGAGTCACCGAGTCAACTCCTCTGAGTCACCGAGTCAACTCCTCTGAGTCACCGAGTCAACTCCTCTGAGTCACCGAGTCAACTCCTCTGAGTCACCGAGTCAACTCCTCTGAGTCACCAAGTCAACTCCTCTGAGTCACCGAGTCAACTCCTCTGAGTCACCGAGTCAACTCCTCCGAGTCACCGAGTCAACTCCCCCAAGTCACCGAGTCAACTTCCCCAAGTCACCGAGTCAACTCCCCCAAGTCACCGAGTCAACTCCCCCGAGTCACCGAGTCAACTCCTCCGAGTCACCGAGTCAACTCCTCTGAGTCACCGAGTCAACTCCCCCGAGTCACCGAGTCAACTCCCCCGAGTCACCAAGTCAACTCCCCTGAGTCACAGAGTCAACTCCCCCAAGTCACCGAGTCAACTCCCCCGAGTCACCGAGTCAACTCTCCCGAGTCACCGAGTCAACTCCCCTGAGTCACAGAGTCAACTCCCCCGAGTCACCGAGTCAACTCCCCCAAGTCACCGAGTCAAATCCTCTGAGTCACTGAGTCAACTCCTGAGTCACCGAGTCAACTCCTCTGATTCACTGAGTCAACTCCTGAGTCACCGAGTCAATTCCCGAGTCCACTTCCGAGTCACTGAGTCAGCTCCCCCGAGTCACTGAGTCAGCTCCCCCAAGTCACTGAGTCAACTCCAAGTCACTTGCATGACAACGAAAAAAAAAGGCCAAATGAACAAGTTTAGAAAGATTGTGTCGTGGATATTACCTGCCTTTTTTGTGAAAGAAGGGCATTTTTGAGACGTCTCAAAAATTGATATTACCTGCCTTTTTTTGTTTGTTCTCATACGAATCGCACCTGAATAAGATCAATCGGCAGCACTCACGCGGATATGATCTGCACTCACGCGGATATGATCTGCACTCACGCGGATATGATCTGCACTCACGCGGATATGATTTGCACTCACGCGGATATGATTTGCACTCACGCGGATATGATCTGCACTCACGCGGATATGATCTGCACTCACGCGGATATGATTTGCACTCACGCGGATATGATTTGCACTCACGCGGATATGATTTGCACTCACGCGGATATGATTTGCACTCACGCGGATATGATCTGCACTCACGCGGATATGATCTGCACTCACGCGGATATGATCTGCACTCACGCGGATATGATTTGCACTCACGCGGATATGATTTGCACTCACGCGGATATGATTTGCACTCACGCGGATATGATTTGCACTCACGCGGATATGATTTGCACTCACGCGGATATGATTTGCACTCACGCGGATATGATCTGCACTCACGCGGATATGATTTGCACTCACGCAGATATGATTTGCACTCACGCGGATATGATTTGCTTCCCAAATTTGCCGTACAGCTTCGACTTGCGCGCGTCCTGTGCGTTCTGCTCTCACCACAGAGATTTGACGGGGGGGGGGGGGGGGGGGGGGAGAGATGTTGGGGTGCGGGGGAAAGGGGAAAAGAGGGAGCAAGGTTGGCGGTGGGTGAGGGTAGCTGGGAAATGCCTTGCGTGCGTCCTGTGCGTTCTGCTCTCAACACAGGGATTCGGGAGGCAAGGGACGGGGGGAGAGGGGGAAAGGGGGAGCAAGGTTGCTGGGACAACTCAAGAATGTGCCGTACAGCTTCGACTTGCGCGCGTCCTGTGCGCTCTGCTCTCAGCAGAAATGGTGGGAGAGGGAGGGGGGGAGGGAGTGGGTGGGGGGAGTGGGCGGAAGGGGCGCAGAGTGGGGTGAATGGGCGTAGAAACGATTGCCGTACAGCTTCGACTTGCGCGCATCCTGTGCGTTCTGCTCTCAACACAGAGATTTTCCGGGTGGAAAGTGGGAATGGGGGGAGAAGGGGGAGAAGGGGGCGGACCAAGGAGCTGAGAAGTGTCTTGCGTGCATAGCATACTGTGCGTTCTGCACTCAATACAGTGACTGTTTTGGGGGGCCAAGGTGGGGAAGGCAAAACAGTCACCCGCCAACCTTGCTCCCTTTTTTTGCCAACCCAGTGACTGTTTTGGGGGGCCAAGGTGCGCAAGGCAAAAAAAGGGAGCAAGGTTGGAGGGTGAGGTAGGGTGGGTGGGGTGGGGTAGCTGAATCCTGAAGAATGGCTTGCAGGTGAGGGTCTCATCTAGGACGCATCCTGTACACTCTGCACTCAGCACTGAGGTGACTTTTGAGGCGCCTCAAAAGTCATTCTGTGCATTCTGCACTCAGCAGCACTGAGGTTTGGGGAAAAGGGGAGCAAGGTTGGCGGGCGAAAGGTGTGGGGGGGAGGGAGGGGGGGATAGGGGGAAGGGGAACAAGGGAGCAAGGTTGGCGGGCGAGGGTAGTTGAAAAATGTCTACCAAGCATCCTGTGCGTTCTGCACTCAACACAGTGATTGTCTTGGGGGGAAGGAGTGGGGGAGGAGGGGGATAGGGGGAAGGGGAACAGGGGAGCAAGGTTGGTGGGTGCGGTTAGCTGAGACATGCATTGCGCGCATCCTGTGCATTCTGCATTCACCACAGATATTGAAAAAATGGGAAGAAGAGAAAGGGGGGGGAAGGGGAGATGGGGGGAGGTGGAGGGGTGGGAGAAAAGGGGATGGGGAAGTGGATAATAGGGGCGGGGGAGGGTACCTTAGCAACGTCCTGTTTGTGCCCAGGAACAAGACGTGCAAGGTTTTTGAGCAAAATATTTCCTTTACTTCACATTATTCGCAGTATCGAGGAAATATTCCATCCCCCCAAATTCTCGAAGAAGAAAATTCAAACCCTAACTCCTGTCAAGCCTTGAAAAAGCTAAGTCGGTATACCTTCACAATCTCTGTACTGTACTGCAGGAATACAAGTTATACAACCCTGCTACAAGTTATACAACCCTGCTACAAGTTACACAACCCTGTTACAAGTTATACAACCCTGCTACAAGTTACACAACCCTGTTACAAGTTATACAACCCTGCTACAAGTTACACAACCCTGTTACAAGTTATGCAACCCTGCTACAAGTTATACAGCCCTGTTACAAGTTATACAACCCTGTTACAAGTTATACAGCCCTGTTACAAGTTATACAACCCTGCTACAAGTTATACAGCCCTGTTACAAGTTATACAACGTTTGAGGTGCCCCAGAAAGTCACCTTGAAGCCCCCACCAATCTTGCAGGATCAACCACCCTTGAGAATTCTGAAAAGAAAGTTAAAACCCAGAGAAGGTCAACCCGAACAACGCAAGGTCAACATTCTTGACGCTAAAACCCGCTACGTTGATGGTACTTCTGAAAATTCTCAAAAGAAACAAACCCCGAAACCACGAGATTTCAAAGCCCTCCCTCACCAATCGTGCAAAATCAACCGCTTTTGAAATTTCTCAACAGAAACCTAAAACCCAGAGGAAATCAACCAGAAAAAAGCAGGACCATCATCTTGACACTAAAACCTTAAACCCTGGAACCACGAGAATTCAAACCAGAAACCTAGAAACCCCAAGACCTTAACCCTGAGAATACCATATAAGCCCTCCGGCCCCATCCCCTTAAACCCTTCAGTCTCAATTCCCTTGTTCCCCCACCCAATCCCCCATGGCTACTTTTTCCCCATTCTCTCTGCATCCCCCATGCTCATCTCATTGCCCCTCTTCTAGCACCTCTATCGGTTCAACACTCCTGCCCCTCCCCTGGCCCCCCTTCTCCTCGTCCCCCCCGTCGTCCCCTCACCCATATTCATCCACCCCCCGTCGCCCTTCCCCCGTTCCCAGGCGCACTTTCTCCCCCCAGGTCGGACTTTTGAGTTGACTCAGAAGTCAACTCTCTTCCCCCGTTCCCAGGCGCAATTTCTCCCCCCATGTCGGACTTTTGAGTCGACTCAAAAGTCAACTCTCTTCCCCCGTTCCCAGGCGCAATTTCTCCCCCCATGTCGGACTTTTGAGTCGACTCAAAAGTCAACTCTCTTCCCCCGTTCCCAGGCGCACTTTCTCCCCCCATGTGTCCTATCCAGATCCGCGCATTCCCCGCCGCTACTCACGCACCAGCCCTCCCCACGCTCCATGTTTCGGCTCGACTCAAAAAACACCCATCCTCGACCCCCCCCATTCCTCATTCCCCACTTCCCGCCGCTTTTCACCAGCCCTCCGCACCTTGCGCGCGCATTCCCCCTCCCTTTCCACGATCCCTCGCTGCAACCCCGCTGATCCCCCATTCCCCGCCGCTATGCACCAACCCTCAGCACCTTGCGCGCTCTGAGTTGACTTAAAGCAAGCACACCGATCCTCAATCTCGCATCCCCGATCCCCGAATCCCCGTTCCATGCCACCACTGACCGGCCCTCCGCACCTTGCGCGTCGCGATTTTCGACGATCGCCGTCCCATGCACACTGGCGAAACCACCTGGAACCTTCGAAGCCCCACGCCTCTGGAAAACGTCGGCATTTCGGAGCCGCCTGCGCCACGTGTCCAGCTCTCCGCGGAAAACGCGCCGTTTCTTCTAAACGATAACGCGTCACCGCGGGTTTGTCGCCTGATTGGGTTTCCAACATAGCTAGCGAAATGGCTGACGTCAGTCCTGCCGGCTGCGGCACTCGCGGTGACGTCAGCGCGGGAAATGGCAGCGGCAGCGGCGTAACGACATGCTGACGTCAGACATCCTACCGATGTCGACATTGTAGGTGGAGGAAGATGATGAGTTGGGCGGTGTGGAGGAGGAGTGCACTCTCTGCTATTAGCGGGGTTTACACTAGCGGAGCATGCAGCCTGTGCCTGGAACACGGCCCACAGACTGCAGGGAGAGCGATATTGGCGTGGTACACGTGGCGCGACGAGGGATGTGGATGACGTGGCCGCTGCGGCAATGGCGGGAAAAAAACGGGCTTGTTTTAGAAGCATCACGGACAAACACCAAAGACTGTCAAGAATGGAAACACCGGGATTTCGTGTGTAAACTGTAGTCTCCCCAATAAATATCTGTGGATGTACTCAGTAACCTACCCAACCGAATTAGACTTTGAATAGACTGCTGCCAACCGTAATCAAACCCTCTGAACTGGAGTCCAAGTATTTTCTAGCATTTCAACGAGGGATTCACAATTGATGTAACGCGCAGCTTCATATCGCAGATGTTTGCTTTCAGAAACTAATCTCGGCAATGTCTCTCGTAACCATGGCGGATTATTTCGCTAACACTTCGCCAATATCGCTATTTTCATCGTTGTCGTCGCGGCAACTTTGATTCCTAGCTCGGCGTCTCTCGTTACAATCACCCGACCCGTAGCTTCACTTCAGACTACAGCCAATCAGAGCATGGTGCTCGCACGCTTTCCAACGGCCTCCGCTCCTCGCGGAGAGCCGTTCCCTATCCTCTCGCCGCTCGCCTCTCCACGCGGCCCTCTCTCCATTCTCGTCTCTCGCAAGCCATTTCCACTCACTCCGCTGCACGCACCACTCCCTGCGCCGCGTCTCATGCTTGTAGTGGATTAGCTAAATCCCGCCGCGTTTCCCGCGCCTCTCGCCTCCCACCACCCAGTCTGGCCTTTCTCCTCTCAGCCCACGACCCGAAGCTTCGCTACAGGCTACAGCCAATCGCTATGGTGCTGTCATGTTTTTAATTGCTAAAATAGCGTAGGCAGGGACAATATAAAATCATGACAGATTACAGTAGTGAGTAGAGTTACAAAGGAGTTAAAGGAACCCCGCGCAATCAAGGCGGGGGAAACGAGGAGACATAGCGAAAGCGGGTATCCGTTGTGGAGCAACGGTAACCCGACCCTACTACTTAGGCAAGCAACCGAAGTAGGTTCAATTGCTTGCTTGTTTGTTTCCACTCTTAGCCAAAGATTTGTTACTCCCTATTGCTGCTTTCGTAGAGGAGCCAACCACAGCAAGCCCAAGTGAATTGTTGAAAAGGGGTTTGATCGGCAGTCAGCCGAGTTAGGTTTTCCTAGCCAAGATCTAGTAGCTAGGAACTTTCAACAAACAAGCAAGAAAGCGACCCGCTGTCGCCACGGAGTTAGTATGACCGATAGGTTTAAACTGCGATCCGGACAGAACTATCGTAGAGAAGCGCCTCTCGCGGAGCCAAGCTGGCGCGCCGCTACCACCGCCATCCGGGAAAGAGAAACTGCGACCGAAGCGGCGCGTTCGTCACCGCCAAGAACCGCGGCCTATCGCACCCCGCATCAACGTGAACGGGACAGACAAGAGGGGATGGAGCCGCGGCGCACCGTCGCGTCAGACCCAGGAGAAACGCCCCACGATATGCAATGGGCACGTGAAGCACGGGCGCGATGGGAGCGGAGGCCCGCGGTCACTTCCCCTAGAGAGATGCCGGGGATAGAGACAGACCGGACGCCGGTGCACGCGCCTTGGCTACGCCGCCAGCCAGAAAGCGGGTTTCAGACGCCGCCGAATCAGGAAATCGTGGCTAGCCGGTCAGCGGAGGTACCAGCGGCTGTGGCGCTCCCTCCACGTCCGAATGAAAAAAGGTGGCAGGGCGGCGCTCTCCCAAAACCAGAAGTGGCCGAGCGATTCACAGGGATTCCCGGAGTGGGCCCTACCTTGAAGAACTACTTGATGCAGCTCGAGACGGTGCAGTACTGCTGGGAACGGGACGGACTGGACCCTGCCGAGTTCTTCAGGCGGATGGTAGTGACATTGGCGGGCGAAGCGGAGACTTTTTACCGGATGACCCGGAGTGAAGTGCTCGAGGAATGGGAATGCGGGGAGACAGTCAACCCGACCACGCGCTTCATCGAACTACTAAAGAAGGAGTTCCTGGGCCAGACCAAAGCAAGGGTGGAAGAGTTCCGCCGGGGAAGAGAGGAATCCCTGCTGGCCTACTATTGCAGGCTGAGGGAGCTCGCCGAGGACTTGGAGAGTAGCGACGAACGACTGCTCATACGCAAGTTCGTCACGGGCTTGGAGGAAGACCTGCGGAACGTGGTGCGGAACACGGTATATGGCATCGGCGCGGAGATTACACTGAAGGAAGTGTATGGACTGGCGAAACGTACGGAGCACGCGCAACGGATGCTGGATTTGGAGGATGGAGAGACCCGTCCCAAAGCGAAGTCCTCGTGGGCGGCGGCGGCGTTGGTGGAGACGGCGCAGGGAGGAGCGCCCCGGACAGATGGACGGCGGGGTCATGAATGCGGAGAACTGGGTCATCTAAAGCGCGACTGCTCGAAGCTGCCGGCGTGCGGGAACTGCGGGAAGAGAGGGCATAAAGAGGATGCCTGCTACAGCCGCCGCCGCTTGGAAGAGAACTCGAGCAAGGAGGAGTTGCAAGCGGAGATTAAGAAGCTGCAATTGAAGTTGGAAGCCAAGCCGAGAATCGAGCCGAAAGCTCGGGCCATGCTCGCATACGAAGAGATTGCTGAGGACGAGGAAGGAGAATCCGAGTACCTGACTGCAAGTGGCTTCATGGCGCTCCCCAGAGAGAAGGGAGAGATAGACCTTCGGCCTCGGGGAAGTCAGTCGACCGAAAGCTGCTCCAGCCGCGTGAGAGGACCGAGAGGTAACTTCCACGAGGGAAGTAGTGTCTCGGAGCTGTGCCGCCATCCTAACGAGCGATTGGTGTGCCAGGCGTCCGTGCTTATCGCGGAAAAGGGGAGCCTGACCGTAGGGGGGCTGCCCGTCGGCCAGGCGATCGTAGACACTGGCGCGCACCATGTGTTGATCGGACGGGGCCTAGCGAAGCAGCTGAAGCTGGACCTGCCGGGGAGGGTGGTACCGAGGGGGATCCTGCTCATGACCGCTGAAGGGGGTGAGCCGAAATGGATGCCGCGGACCGTAAGGCCGATCGAGATCGTGCTGCTCCCAGGGACGGAGAAAGAATGCTGCATCCGCGTGACTTGCGGAGTGTCGGAGTCAGAAGATTACGACGTGTTGTTGGGCATGGACCTGTTGTATCGAGTGGGCGCCACCATTTGTACCTGGCAAGAGAAAGTGTTGTACCGAGTACACTATTGGGATCCGGCCAGCTCGGTCGGCACCTTGCCTGTGAAGTTCGTCAGGCAAGAGCCGCGGGAGGCCTACGGGGCGTGACCTGCTGACTTGAGCCCTGTGCTGGACGAGTGGAGTTGGGAGAAATATGCCGAGGAGTACGAACGCCGCATCGAAAGGAGACAGCAAGGGAGAGAGCCGCCGCCCCTGAAGGAGAGGATCTCCAGGCTATGGACACTCGAGGGGTCAGTGTGCGTGATGGAGCTCTACGGAGGCATCGGTACCGGGTTGGCGGCAGTGCTGAAGGCGGGATGCAGAGTGCGGAAATGGATTCATGTGGAACGAGACCCAGTGGTGCGGCGGATGGCTCAGCATCACGCACGGCTGCTACTGGGAGAGTACCCGGAGCAGATAGCGGAGTCTGCTATCCCAGCTGAGGATGAAGAAGTGGTGGATGACGTGAGGACCATTACGATGGAGAAATTGGAGCAGTGGGGGCAGATCGACGTCATCATCGCGGGATGGGAATGTCAAGGGTACTCGCGCGCAGGAGCGGGGTGGGGGATGGACGATATCCGGGGGGCCTCTTTCCGGGATCTGAGGCGGGTACTGGAAATGGTCCAGACGAGGCAAGGGGAAGTGTTGTATATTCTGGAAAATGTGGACTTCGCAGAGGATTGCCGGGAACACGTGAGGAGGGCGTTTGCGGAGGTGGAGGCGGCCGTAGGTAGGGGGCAGGCGGTTGATGCAGCGCAGCTGGGGTCCAGGGCCCACCGACCGAGAAGAAACTGGCAGAACGGGATCTCGGACGCGAGCTTACGTCACGCGCTCGCTCAGATGCAACGGCCCGAACCCAGGCTGGTCAGTGACATCCTGGGTCCCAACCGGCTGCCCGCACCAGTCACCACTCCTGACCATCCGTCCCAATATCAGTGCAACGTGCCAGGGAAGCCGAGGCAGGCGCTGCCTACGCTCGTGTCCTACGTGGACGCGTACGGGTTCGTGATGGAGGAGGATCTGCCAGGTCCGGGAATGATCTACGATGTAGTGGGGAAGCAGTGGGAGCAACCTACGGCTGCCGAACGGGAGTTAGCCATGGGCCACAGCCTGGGAGCCACAGCCCATCCTCGAGTGACGGAGCCCCAGAGACGCGCGGCGCTGGGCCGAGCTATGGATTTGAACGTCATGACGTGGCTAGTAGAGACTATACGCATGCACTTGAAGCGGAAAGAGCTCCAACGCGGCATAGAAGTCAGCGAGCTGTACCAGGAGGAGGAGGAGGCCAAGATGAAGCGGCGCCAGCTGCAAGCGATAGAAGAACAAGAAGAGGCGCAGATTTTAGAAGGATGGGCCTACATGGCCGTGGGAGTAGCAGAGAGAGGCGCGGATTAAGGGGTACTACATCTGGACGGAGAGCTGCCAGCCCCCGCGGAGAAGCCAAGGCAGGAAAGGGGCCCTGATGACGACTGGCCCATTGGCACAGGAATGGGGGC